ACAAAGGAGGTGAGAGACGTGAGTAGGGAGAACTATGAAACACTTAGAAAAGAAATTGTAGAGATACAAATAGATGAAAATCCCTACCATGCTCATGGATTGGCAGAATCAATATTGTTAGAATGTCCACACTATCTAAAGTGATCTACAGAACTAATGCAATCCTTATCAAAATACCATCATCATTCTTTGCAGATCTGGAAAAAATAATTCTACACTTCATTTGGAATCAGAGAAGACCTCATATAGCCAGAGCAATCTTAAGCAAAAAGAATAAATTGGGAGGCATCAGTCTGCCAGACTTCAAACTTTACTACAAGGCTATAGTGCCCAAAATATCATGATACTGGCACAAGAACAGAGATATAGACCTTTGGAATAGGACAGAGAACCCAGATATAAAACCATCTTCACATTGTCATCTCATCTTTGACAAAGCAGACAAAAATATATATTGGGGAAATGAATCTCTATTCAACAAATCGTGCTGGGACAACTGGATATTTACATGCAGAAGAATGAAACTAGATCCCCACCTCTCACCTCTCACAAAAATCAATTCATGATGGATAACAGACTTAAACCTAAGGCATGAAACTTTAAGAATTCTGAAAGAAAATGTTGGGAAGACTCTTTTAGGCATTGGCTTAGGCAAAGAATTTATGAAGAAGACCCCTCAAGCAATCACAGCAGCAATAAAAATAAACAAATGAGACCTGATCAGTTTAAAAAGCTTCTGCACAGCCAAGGAAACTATGATTAGAGCAAATAGACAACCTACAGAATGGGAGAAAATATTTGCTTTCTACACATCTGATAAAGGGCTGATAAAAAGAATATATATAGAAGTTAAGAAAATCAAGAAAAAAATCAAAGAACCCTATTAATAAATGGGCACAGTACATGAACAGAAACTTTTCAAAAAAAGACAGAATAATGGACAGCAAACATGTAAAAAAAAAAAAAAGTACATAACATTTTTAATCATTAGGGAAATGCAAATCAAAACCACAATGAGATATCAACTACCTCCAGTGAGAATGGCCTTTTATCAAAAAGTCCCAAAACAACAAATACTGGCATGAATGTGAAGAGATAGGAACACTCTTACACTGCTGGTGGGACTGCAAATTAGTACAAACCCTGTGGAAAGTAATTTAGAGATACCTCAAAGAGTTAAACATAGAAATACCGTTTAATTCAGCAATCCCACTACTAGGCATCTACCCAAAGGAAAAAAAGACATTTTATAATAAAGACGTCTGCACTTGAATGTTTATGGCAGTACAATTCACAATCGCAAAGATGTGGAAACAACCCCAGTGCCCATCAATACAAGAGTGGATTAATAATATGTGGTATATGTATATCATGGAATACTACTCAACTACAAAAAACAATAGTGAGGCTGGGCACGGTGGCTCACGCCTGTAATACTAGCATTCTGGAAGGCTGGGGCAGGAGGATCATTTGAGCTCAGGAGTTCCAGACCAGCCTAAGCAAGAGCAAGACCCCATCTATACTAAAAAAAAAAAGAAAGAAATTAGCTGAACAACTAAAAATATATAGAAAAAATCAGCCAGGCATTGTGGCGCACGCCTGTAGTCCCAGCTTCTCGGGACACTGAGATAGAAGGATTGCTTGAGCCCGGGAGTTTGAGGTTGTTATGAGCTAGATTGACTCCATGGCACTCTAGTCTGGGCAATAGAGTGAGATTGTCTCAAAAAAAAAAAAAAAAAATGGTGAACTAGCACCTCTTATATTATCCTGGATAGAGCTTGAGCCTATTCTTTAAAGTGATGTATCACAAGGATGGAAAAACATGTACCACATGTACTTGCCATCAAATCAGTACTACCCAATCAACACTAAGGTGCTCACATTTTAGTATTACTCATCAGGTGCCAGCCAGGTGAAGGAGGTGGGAGGATAAACCCACAACTAATGGAAGCGGAGCATACTGTATGGGGTATGGACACACTTGTAGCCCTGGCTTGGGCAAGGCCAATGCATTACGTCCAAAATGTTTGTACCCCCATATATCCTGAAATAAATAAATAAACAAACCCAATTATATGTCACTTCACATGCATTAGACTGGTATAATAAAAGAATTGGATAATTGTAATTATCAGCAAAGGATGCAAAACAAAGAGAACTCTATATACTGCTGGAGTGGGCATAAGTTCTTGTAACTACTTTGGAGAGAAATTTGTCAACGTCTGGTGAAGTCAAAGGTACACTAAATCTACGATGCAGCAGTTCAGCTTTCAGATTATACCCAGATTAGAACTTTCCTGCTCGGGTACCACAGATAGGTTACAGATGTTCAGAGTACTGAGTCCTTCATTCTGAAGGTGTTTGTGGGGCCTGGACTATCCATACCTGTAAGGCTAGTCACCTCTGGTTGCCAGATGTCTTGCTCAGTTACCTCAGTGTGTTGTGCAAGTATTATTCTTAGATGTACTATGATGTCAAAATGGTTGAGAAGCTCTTCCCTAGAGGCATACTACAATGTTCATTGCGACAGTGTAACATAAAAAAATTTATGGCAAGATTCAAATTCATAAATGTAGAAATAAAGAGAGAAATAGAAAATAACCTTCAGGGAAGAAGTATAGTAATAATTACTGTAAACAAGATTCACTGATAAGTGCTGAAGTTAATGAGTGAAATTATGGGGAGAAACAGAAAATTTATGCAGTCTCAAAGCATTTCCCTCAAGATACTTATTAACTACAAAGAGAGAGATTATAACATTATAGAGAAGAACCCTGGCAGAAGCCACTGAAACTAAGTGATCAAGTATCACCACCAGTCAGAAGACATATTGGCATTATGAATCCTGTGCTGTGATGCATTAAGAAAGTCACAGCATTATTCCCTGATATTCTTGGTAACATGCATAAAATGTCAGTCCAGTCATGGAAAAACATTAGGCAAACTGAAATTGAGGGACATGTGACAAAATAACTGATCAAAAATCTCAGGGTCATAAACAAGGAAAAAGTAAAGAAGAAATGAGCTAAGGAGAAATAACAGCTAAGTACCGTGAGGACTAAAACCATTTGCTTTGAGTATCATTGAGTGGGGTGTTAAAGTAAATTAAGGCTAACCAGACCTTTTTTTCTTCCTGAGCAGCCACTGACTCTGAAGGTAGAGTGGGTGAATTCATAAAAATCTTAAGCATTTGTTTGACTATAAGACATAGGAGGGAAAAAAGCTTTTTGATAAGCACTTACTTTCATTTAAGCAAAAGTAATTTGCAAACATCTTTTTGAGACTATGGGAAGACAGTTTCTAAAATGCTCCTAGTAGGGAAGAAACAGCAAATAGAGTTAGTCTAATATACCCATTATTACTAATTTAACATATATAATAAAAACATCATTTAAACTTAGCATTTGGTGTTTGTTCTGAATTGTTTTATTTCAGTGAACATTTGTTAAAATCCATTTTTTAAGGATTTTTATTGAGTCATTTGTAAACTCAGTCCTACTTACCTAATTTCTCCATAGTAAGTTTTTATTCTTAAATTGCCCTACCATAGATGTTTTTAAGAGCCTGATCTCAGAATTGAAATTTGGTTAATATCAACTTATTGTAATGAATGTTTTCCATTATGTATAGAGAGAGTTAAATTGATCTTTACCTTTGGAATTTCTAGTAAACTAACATTTTTATTCAACATGTTTATTCAGCATGTTTATATAACATGTTTATATAACATGTTTATTCAACATGAGGCCTTTTCAATCTCTAATTTGACATTGTGTTTCTTAACACATATACCTTAAATTTTATAAAGTCCATTATGATTTTATTTTTTAGCACAATATTACTCTAATATACTGTATTCCAAAATGCACTTGTTTCACTTGTGTTTAACTTTGTTTTATTGTTTTAAGGATATTCTTACAATATCTAGAAAATACCACAGACAACTTTTGTATCTGACTGTTCTTTCAGATTAGAAATATTTCACTACAAACTTTTTGCAGAAGTTAATTTCAAAGATATGTGCCTTTAAAGCAAAGTAACAGAAATTATAAACTGATAAGAAAATGCAACAAAGGGCTAACAGTATTGGGTATAAAAACTAGAGTCAGGATTGAAATTAATATACAAAATACCTTGACCTTGGAAATGGTTGTGGTCTTTATTTTTATATTCTGGCAACCTCATATTTCCTCAAGTGCCCAGTCCTTACTAAAGCATAATATTATTTGTGTGGGAAACATAAGAAATTTATGTTTTTGAGTTCAGAGAAGTTATATGGGTCCACAGTTCCTTATCTGAAGAAATCTTTGGAACCAAATGTGTTTCATATTTCAGAACCTTTTGGATTTAAAAAAGATAATGCTGTTTTGATAGCTTATATAATAGCCTCATCAGGGTTTAGGGGAGAACCACGTCAACACATTATTATTTTTGCAATAAGACACATATTCACACAAAGTGGTATAAATAAGGCAGATAATCTCATCTCAGTCTGGGTTTTGCTGACTAATGAGTTAAGAAAAAGCAATTGGTTTTCAGAATTTGTAGTATTTTAGAATTACAAATAAGGCATAGTGGACCTGTATACTAATTAGAGCTGAGAAAAATAACACAGGAAACAAAAATTACGATCTGTGGTCTTGACTCTAAGTACAGTGAGAGTTAAAAGAAGTCAAGGACTTCACCAAGAAGGAAAGTTTTGACCTGGGCTAAAAGAAGATTCATAGAAAAGTTTTTCATTTGGAAATGAGCAAGACTAATGACAACTATCCCAATTGGAACCCAGGTCTCTGTCAGAGGTTAGTGAAATAAAGACAGGCATGTGGCAACATGGTGGGAAGATTATTGAGGGTTTGAATGTCAAATATGAGAGCTGTAATAATGTGTCAAGAATCACAAAACTTTAACCAAAGAAGTGATGTGAAGAATAGCAGGCCTTGATACAGAATGTAGGGAGATAAAGGAGACATAGTATTGTCAAAACAAAATTACAGCACATGTAAAGATCTAATTGACTTTTATTAGTGATTCGTGAATTGAGCATATGATCCAAAGATTTAGAGAAGGCACTCCTCTTCTCCTGTGCAGAGGAGGTTGGCATCATAGGAAGAAAAGGGCTGAAGAAAGCAGAAACAGAGAACAAAAAGCCAATTGGTTATTTCAAAATTACTTTCCTTAGGAGTTGAAACAGAGGGTACTTCCTTATGCTGGCTCAGGTAAACTGGGCCCTTTTTGATTGGTTGCTGTGAATCTCTTGATTTTTTTGGAAAATTGGCCCTTTCAAAGTTTAGTTTGATACGTGTGACCTGGCACACCTGGCCTCTCCTGATCAATTGTTGATGAATATGTTCATTGACTTTGAGTTTAGAGATTTTCTGAAGGCCCTAAATAACCAGGAAGAACCATTGTGAGAGGCTGTGGTTTCCTTTGCTCTGACTTCTCCACCAATTCCTTCCCATCTGCTTTCTCTCATCCTGTGATTTCTCAGTTTCTGGCCTACTGGTAGAACCTTGCCTTAGCTTTCTGTATTCCTTTTGTTTCATTCTTAAAAGTATACACATTGTCTTCTTTATGTATGGGGTGGAGTGGGAGGTGTGCCTTGCCACTTCCAAAGGGTTTTGTGATGAGGGTAGGCAGAGGCATGTATTCAGTGTGTCATATTGCACTTAACATGATGACTAAATTTACTTTCTTTCCAAGTTAGAAAGTCTAATTATCACACAGAAATGGGCATTCAAGTTACCTACAACATTGGGATTGTCATCTGTCAGTTCAAATGACTTAGCATGTCATCCACACAAGACTGAACCAGAAAGGATGACGACGACACTTAAAACCCTGTCAGCAGGACCCATAGCCCACTTAGGAAACTGCTTTTATTAAAATAAAAAAACTTTTTATTAAATAAGAACTGGCCATAGTTAACTTTTGAGAGAATAAATTCCATCAAACATCCGAAATCTCTGTATGGAAGCTATGACCCTTGGGTTATTTGTTGGAGCCCACTTCAGCTGTAAGCTCTGGTTCATACCAAAGGTGGCTGCAGCTGTGGAAAAGGCAGCAGGACAGTGAGAGTCCAAGAGAAAGAACTTAACTTGAGACTTCAGGTTGACCTAGCATGGGACTGATACTTCGTAGAACAAAGAAATGCTTTTTTATTTCTAAAGTTTTAGAATTATTTAATGTTTCATATAGCCATTTTAGATTATAAACATTATATACAATATAAACATTTATATACAATATAAAAACAATGCTTCATATTTTTCTTGGGTCTTAAGATGCACAGTCCTCATAAACAGTAGTAGATATGTCACTGAAGAATTATAGGCAGAGTATGAGAGGATTTAAATGATATTTTGATCTATATAATAGTAGATGCTCACCTAAAGTGAGCTTTTTATATTAGAGAAACCAAGTAAAACAGTATTCATAATAATGTAATAATCATGTGAATTACAACATGTTAAAATGTGTTTGGAGGCAAGTATATATTTGGATTTCAAATGATATTAATTATTCTCTTCAGTATCTAAAGATCCTGTTACTGAATGTGTCCTTATGTTTTCTTTCTTTTCTTTTAGGTCTCTTTTATTCAAAACCTTGTATTTTGTGTAGAAAGAGTTTACCGAGTTCCTGACTTTGGTGTCTGGGAAAGAGGAAGCAAATATAATAATGGCAGCACAGAGCTACATTCAAGGTAATTCACTGATTTCTGAGTTTTCAAATTTAAATGTATGGAATTTTAATATAAGTAAAAATCAAAGCATTAAACTGGAATTGTGCTATGTTAATTTTCAATACTGTTTTTTTCTACATGTTAAATTTGCTTAAAATTAAAGCAAAAGAGTCTGCTTTCAGTGCCTAAAACCAGGCTCTGGAAGGGAGCAGCCATCTTTCCCAGCCTCCCTAGGTGTCAGTACCTGCATATCAGCCTTCATCATTAATCCACAGCTTGGCCTTTCTGCTCAACCAAGTCATTTTCTTTTTCCTCTTTGAAATTACATTATTTGAAATGTGAAGTACATTAAAATTTCCAAACACCAGTTGTATGTGCATTGCATGTAAAATACATTGTATGTAAAATTTACATTGTATATAAAATTCCCTTCCATATTATAGAGCTGATTTTTATCCTAACCACAGATTCTCATACCCCTTGTATAAAGCTTGATGTTCAGTGTCATCTGTAAGAATAGTATCTTGAGCTGTGGTTTAGTGCATATGAATAAGCAACAATAGCTGATGACTGATGTTAGTAGTTTATGAATTTCCTTCACTCCTTAGAGTTAGGGAAATAGCTTTAGTGACTGATTGCACTTTTCATATATTCTAATTTTATGTCCAGAGGGTCATCTTTTAACCAAAAATGTGGCTCAATAAATCTTATCCATGTTGCACTAAAAGATGCAATAATTTAAGCTAAGGGTTATCACTATAAGTCAGTTTGGATTATTGAGACTTAAATGAGAGAAATAGTGTAGGACAGTGTTACCCAACCTTTTTGGTACCAGGGACCAGTTTCATGGAAGATAATTTTTCCACGGATCTGGGGGGGAGATGGAACTGAGGCACTGGTGCAAACAATGGGTAGATGGGGAGCAGCTGTAAATACAGATGAAGCTTCACTTGTTCTCCCGCCTCTCACCTCCAGGTTCCTAACAGGCCATGGACTGGTATGGGTCCTTGGCCTGGGGCTTGGGGACTACAGGTCTAGGAAACACTGGTTAAGAAGACGCTGCAGTTTCTATACTCCATATATATATATATATATATGTGTGTGTGTGTGTGTGTGTGTATATATATATACACACATACATATACACATACATTTAACATTGATCTTCTAATTGTCCATGGTATAGCACTTTACAATTCCCCAAAAAGCTTTACACTTATGCTTTTTCAAATATTTCTGAGCTCAGGTCTCCATAAGTGTGTTTTGGTTGTGCCACTTCTAGTGCCAAAAGGATATATTTTGAAACTGCAGGAGAACTGAGTTTCCTGGCTTAGCTCTCCATGGATGCAGTGATGGCAGTAGTGGAAGGCCAGTGTCTTCCTGTGCGTTGGCCTGGGAAATCAAATGTAGAGCTGCTACCAGCCAGGGATCAAGTCACAACTCTTAGTCTACTGTTGCTATAGGACACCCCAGAACTGTACCAGTCTTGTTGGATGTGTTCTTTATTGCTTAATGCAGTATCTTTTTTATAACCTCAAGCTGTTCTCATAATTTCAGAGGTTATAATTTTCAGCTTGAATTAATATATTAATACTTGCTATCAGTGTGTACTTCTCTTTTCCTTCTGACTTTTTCTGCCACTCTCCATCTCTGTGCTTTAATAGGACGCATAGAGGGAACAGAGCACAATCTAACTGTTGCCTTGGTGCTCACCAGGGCCTTGGCCAAAGTTACTGGCTCTTTTTCACTTGCCACTCTGGGTACATCTTATCTAAGAGCTCCCTATATCAAAGATTTCCACCCCTGAGCCCCCAGAACACACACATGCCCCTCTTAGGTTGAAGACTCCCTCTTCAGCAGCTGTGCTCAGTGGTCCTTTTAATAATGGCAGTCTGTGGCCTGAACAGTTGTAAAATATGTTTAGTTCAGGCAAGGAACATTACTGCCTTTTATATAGGGGAAAGCTAATATTTGGTTTTTTGAGTTTTGTGATTTCCTTCTGCCCCTGGCCCCCCTCCTTAAATACAGTTCAGTAGGTGGTAGAACCAGAACTAGAATCTGGGTCATTGACCCCCAAATCCAAAGTCAGTTTTGCTATATCACATATTTTAAAGTCTTAACAAATTTTCCTAAAGTGTGAAAAAATAGCAGAGTGTAAATTCTGTAGAATTGTTATAAGTTTCAAGGATATCTTCATTTAGTAATTAGTACAGCTTGATTCAGCTTAGTGCTTTGGTCAAACCCTTCTTGATAATGCCCTGCTTCAACAGGTTTGCTGGTATCCCTTTAGTCCAAATTCTTGAATTATTTAGTATTTCTTAGGTAAACCCCCCAATTTTTTTCTAAACAGTACTCTGCTTACATTTATCAAAACCTCATTCTAGCAGTAGCCTCACCCTTTTGAAGGTTTCAGTAACGGGATCTATTGCTCTGAGCTCCTATGACTCCCTTGAAGTGTTTCCTAAGCAACCACCCTGGTCTCCAGACTTTTCTGTTTATTTGACTGTCCCCAGGCAACATGTCCCTTTCAGTTACTCCTAGGGTGTCTGGAGTTCTATCAGAAAATGTTCTTTTCTCCTATTTAGTCTCTTAAGTCTTTTATAAATGTCCATGTATTTTTAAATATTATGCCATTAGATTGAATCACATTTTTCTCCATGTATTATTTTGGTACCTATTTATTGTAGTAGCACTATTTCTTAACCTTCAGAGTTACCTATCCAAGTAGTCTTCTCAGCCTCTCCAAGTTTAATTCAAGTATTTTAATCTTTAAGTTTCCTCCTCCTCATTAATATAAGGACATTCCTGCTCCTTGGGACTGCCTTTACACCTAAGCTTTCTATTTGGGGAAAGAGATGAGTCTCCGCTATAAAATGTGAATTGAATTTCAAACCTTAACTTTGAATTTTTTGGCTATTGGGAAACAAATAGGAAAGACTGTACTTAATTTAGTGATGTGGATATGTGCCCAAGTGGAAAGAAATTAACTCCTAAGTAGAACTTTACATTTAACAACATAATTTATTTTTTTACTTTGTTAAATCCTGTTTGTGATACAAAGAAGATTGTAGAAGCAAAACGAATTAAGATCTGATTTTTCAAGTTTTTTAAAACAGTTTTATGTTCTGTTCCCTTGGCTTTTCTAATAAAGAGAGTCATCACTAAAATATCAGATAAGTAACCATCATAGCACCACTTTATGCAGTTTAAGATGCTTTTAGTGACCATTTTATTCTATACAGTGCTTATTACTTAAAGTAACTACTTAGTCTTCTTAAGCCATTTTTTTATGTTTCACACATTGAACTATGATAAAAGCTAAAGTCCATCCACTCTGTTTCATTTTATGTATTTTTGCCATACTGAACAATTCATGAACGTTCATTAGAACCGTAGTGCTGTAAAGTCCTTTTCTTCTAGGAACTATGATTGGGTAGCTCAGAGAGTTAAAGCATGATGTTAATGAGTAGGAGATTGTGAATTTAGTTCTCATGCCTGCTAGTTACTTTTGCAGATTCCATGATGGGTATTAAATGACCTAGTCCAACCCATCTTTTCTAGAAAAGCTGTGATTTATGCAACAAATCACTTTATTAGTATCTCTGAAGCAAATGTCACTTTATTTTAGCTCCCTTAAGAATGTTAGAATAAAAGATGTTGAGGTTACCACCTTGTAAGAATCAAATCAGTAAATGTTCTGTCGATAATAGTTACATAATATTAATATATTCAGTAACTAATAATAGAACAATTTAATTTTCTGAGAATGTCTTGTACCATTAAACAGTTTTAAATTCTTACAACAAAATATTGTATTTGCTAATAAAATGTAAGATCACACTAGGATTGTGTTTGCATTTCTAAATAGCTTACTGTTGCCAGAGATTTAAGTAACCAGTGGTAATAAATTAACATATTTGCGAATTTCCAACTTCATTGGCAAAGAAAGTTAAAATGGAAAGAATTCAATAAACATTTACTCTAGTCCAGGTATAGTGTTTATTTCTTTTATAATGCTGTATTTAGAAGACAATTTCTAATTTCACCCCATAACTGTCTTTTAGCATCACTGTTAAAGACAGAACCTTGAGTTGACTACATTGTATTTATCCTCCAGTACCTGATTTCTTATGTGTTTGATTTTTGAATAAGTTATTTTCTTCTCACATTTCAAAATATTGTGAACAGTGTTAATAAAACATGTGCCTCACCCTGTAAGTTTGAGTTTTCTGGTACTACTAGATTAACTGAAAATAAATATTTATGCATTGTCATCAGTAACACATTCTTTCTTATTAGTTTTATTTTCATAGATTTAGGGGGTAAAAATGGTTTTTTGCCAGAAGGATGAATTGCACATTGGTAAAGTCTAGGCTTTTAGTGTACCCATCACCCAAATAGTGAACATTGTACCCAATAGGTAATTTTTTAACTGCATCCCCTTACACCCTCACCCTTCTGAGTCTCCAGTGTCCATTATGTCATTCTGTATGACCATGCTCATCTATTTCTTAGCTCCCATGCATAAGTGAGAACATACAGTATGTTTTATTATTATTCCAGAGTTATTTCACTTAGGATAATGGCCTCCAGTTCCATTCAGATAGCTGCAAAAGATATTATTTCATTATTTTTCATGGCTGAGTAGTATTCCATGGTGTGTGTGTGTGTGTGTGTGTGTGTGTGTGTATGTATGTACATGTTATACACACACATACACATACCACTTTTTCTTTTTCTTTTTTTATTTATTTCAGCATATTATAGGGGTACAAATGTATAGGTTACGTATGTTGCCCTTGCCTTCCCACAAGTCAGAGCTTGAAGCATGTCCATCACCCAGACAAGTGTGCATTGCACTCAATATGTGTGTATATACCCATACCCTCCTCCCCACGCCCATCTGCCTGATGCCCAATAAATGTTATTCCGATATGTGCACTTAGGTATTGTGTTGATCAGTGAAACCAATTTGCTGGTGAGTACATGTGGTGCTTATTTTTCTATTCTTGGGATACTTCACTTAATAGAATGGGTTCTAGCTTTAGCCAGGAAAATACAAGAGGTGCTATATCACCATTGTTTCTTAAAGCTGAATAGTACTCCATGGTATAAATATACCACATTTTATTAACCCACTCATGTATTGATGGGCATTTGGGTTGTTTCCACAGCTTTGCAATTATGAATTGTGCTGCTATAAACATTCAAGTGCAGATGTCTCTTTTACAGAATATCTTTTTATCCTTTGGGTAGTGCCCAGTAATGGGATTGCTGGATCAAATGTAGTTCTACTTGTAGATCTTTGAGGTATCTCCATACTACTCTCCACAGAGGTTGCACTAGTTTGCGATCCCACCAGCAGTGCAATCGTGTTCCTATCTCTTTGCATCCATGCCAACATTTATTGTTTTGAGATTTTTTGATAGGGCCATTCTCACTGGAGATAAGTTATATTTCATTGCAGTTTTGATTTGCATTTCCCTGATGATTAGAGATGTTGAACATTTTTTCATATGTTTGTTGGCCATTATTCTGTCTTCTTTTGGAAAGTTTCTGTTCATGTCCTTTGCCCACTTTTTGATAGGGTGGTTTGATTTTTTTTTTCTTGCTGATTTTCTTGAGTTCTAGATAGAGTCTAGTTATCAGCCCCTTATCAAATATGTAGCATGCGGAAATTTTCTCCCATTCTGCAGGTTTTCTGTTTGGTCTCGTGACAGTTTCTTTGGTTGTGCAGAGCTTTTTAATTTGATCAGGTCCCATTTATTTATTTTTGTTGTTGCTGTGATTGCCTTGGGGGTCTACTTCATAAATTATTTGCCTAGGCCAATGTCTAGAAGAGTATTTCCAATGGGTTCCCTCTAGAATTCTAATAGTTTCACACCTTAGGTTTAAGTCTGTTACCCAGCATGAGTTGATTTTTGTGAAAGATGTGGATCCTGTTTCAGTCTTCTACATGTGGCTATCCAGTTTTCCCAGCACCATTTATTGAATAAGTGTTCTTTTCCCCAGTGTATGTTTTTGTCTGCTTTGTCAAAGATTAGATGGCTATATGAGGATGATTTTATATCTGGGGTCCCAGTTGTGTTCCACTGGTCAATGTCCCTGTTTTTGTGCCAGTACCAAGCTGTTTTAATTACTATAGCCTGTAGTAAAGTTTGAAGTCTACATTTTCTTTATCCATTCATAATTTGATAGACATTTATATTGGTTCCATATCTTTGCAATTGTGAATTGTACTGTGATAAACATACAAATTTCTTTTTTGTAAAATGATGTCTTTTCCTTTGGGAAGATCCCCAGTAGTGGGATTTCTGGCTTGACTGGTAAGTCTATATTAATTTCTTTGAGGGATCTCCATACTGTTTTCCATAGAGGTTGTGCTAATTTACATTCCCACCAATACTGTATAAGCATTCCCTTTTCACTGCATCCCCACTAGCATTGATTGTTTTTTGTCTTTTTAATAATGGCCATTTTGACAGGGGTAAGATGATATCTCATTGTGCCTTCAATTTGCATTCCCTGATGTTAGTCATGTTTGGCATTTTTTCATATATATGTTGGCCATTTGTTTTTCTTCTTTTGAAAAATGTCTACTCATATCTTTTGTCTACTATTTAACATTTTTTTCTTGCTGATTTGTTTGAGTTTCTTATAGATTCTGGATATTAGTCCTTTGTGAGATATATAGCTTACAAATGTTATCTCCCATTCTGTAGGTTATCTTTTTACTCTGTTGGCTATTTCTTTTGCTGTGGAGAAGCTTTTTAGTTCAATTAAGTCTCATTTATTTTTATTTTTTTTTATATTTGCTTTTGGGGTCTTAGTTATAAATTTCTTACCTAGGCCAATGTTGAGGATAGTTTTTCTTAGGTTTTCTTCTAGAATTTTTATGTTTTAAGGTCTTACATTTAAGTCTTTACTCCATCTTGACTTAATTTTTATATATGGTAAGAGATAGGGATCCAGTTTCATTCACCTGCATAGCTCTCCAGTTTTCCCAGCACTGTTTATTGAGTCGATTGTTCTTTTCCTAGTGTATGTTTTTGTCTGTTTGTCAAAGATCAGTTTATTGTAGGTATTTAGCCTTATTTCTGGGTTCTCCATTCTATTCCATTGGTCTATGTATCTACTTTTATTCCAGTCCCATGCAGTCGTAGTTACTATCACCTTGCAGTATAATGTGAAGTTGGGTAATGTGATACCTCCAAATTTGTTCTTTCTGCCTAGGATTGCTTTGGCTACTTGTGCTCTTTTTTGGTTCCATATGAATTTTAGGTTTGTTTTTTTTTTTCTAATTCTGTGAAAATGATGATGTTATTTTGGTAGGAGTTGCATAGAATCTGTAGATTACTTTGGGTAGTGTGGGTGTTTTAACAAAGATTTTTCCAATTCATAAGCATAGAATGCTTTTTGTTTGTATCATCTACAGTTTCTTTCATCAGTATTTTGTTGTTCTCCTTGTATAGATCTTTCACCTCCTTAGTTAAGTAAATTGCAATATATTTTATTTTTTTGCAGATATTGTAAATGGGATTGAATTCTTTATTTGATTCTCAGCTTGGTTGTTATTAGTGCATAGAAATACTACTAATTTGTATATATTGATTTTGTAATCTGAGAATTTAATGAATTCATTTATCAATTCTAGAAGTCCTTAGAAGCAGTCCTTAGTGTTTTCTAGGAATAAGATCATATCACTGGCAAACAGAGATAGTTTGACTTCCTCTTTTCCAGTTTGAATGCCCTTTATTTCTTTCTATTGCCTGACTCCTCTGGCTAGGACTTCCAGTACTTTGTTGAATAGAGGTGGTGAAAGTGGGCATCCTTGCCTTATTCTAGTTCTTGGGGAGAGTGCTTTCAGCTATTCCCCATTTTGTATCATGTTGGCTGTGGGTTTGTCATATATGGCTTTTATTATTTTGAGGTATGTTCCTTCTATGCCTAGCTTGTTAAGGGTTTTTATCATGAAGGGATATTGGATTTTGTCAAATGCTTTTTCTACATCTATTAAGATAATCATATGGTTTATGGTTTTAATTCTGTTAATGTAGTGAATCACATCTGATTTATACATGATGAACCATCCTTGTATCCCTGGGATGAAACCCACTTGACTGTGGTGAATTATCTTTTTGATGTGCTTTGGATTCGGTTTGCTAGTATTTTGTTGCGAATTTTTATATGTACATTCATCAAGGTTATTGGTCTGTAGTTTTCTTTTTTGCTTTGTACTTTCCTGACTTTGGTGTCAGACTGATACTGTCTTCATGGAATGAATTAGGGAGGTTTCCCTTCTTCTTGATCTTTTTCAACAGTTTCAGTAGGATTGGTACTAGTTCTTCTTCGTAAGTCTGGTATAATTCAGCTGTGAATCCATCTGGTCCTATGCTGTTTTTCAGTTGGGAGATTTTTTTATTACTGATTAACTCTCACTACTTGTTATTGTTCTGTTCATAATTTCTGTTTCTTCCTGATTCAAGCCTGGGAGGTTTTATGTTTTCAGGAATTTATCCATTTCCTCTAGGTTTTCTAGTGTGTGTGCATAAAGGTGTTTGTAGTGGTCTCAGTTGATCTTTTCTATTTCTGTGGTATGAGTTGTAATGTCTACTTTTTCATTTCTGATTGAGCTTATTTGAATCCTTTCTCTTGTTTTCTTGGTTAATCTAGCTAGTGATTTATTGATTTGGTATATCTTCTCAAAGAATCAATTTGTTGTTTCATTTAATCTTTGGGGGTTTTTTGTTTCAATTTCATTTAATTCTGCTTTGATCTTTGATATTTCTTGTATTTTGCTAGCTTTGGGTTTATTTTTTTTTTCTTTTTCTAGTTCCTTGAGGAATGACATTAGGTTGTTAATTTATGATCTTTCTGTCTTTAAAAAAAAACAGAAATTTATTCTCTCACAGTTCTGCAGGCTAGAAGTTCAACATCAAGGGGTTGGCAGTGTTGGTTCCTTCTAGGAGCTATGAGGGAGAATCTGTTTCACACTTGTCTTCTAGCTTCTGGTGTTTGCTAGAAATTCTGTGGAATTCCTTGACTTGCAGCTGTGTCACTGCCATTTCTGCCTCTGCCATCACATGACCTTCTTCCCTCATTTCTTTTTTTTTTTTTTTGAGACAGACTTTTGCTTTGTTCCCTAGGCTAAAGTGCCGTGGCTAGCTCACAGCAACCTCAAACTCCTGGGCTCAAGTGATCCCCTTGCTTTAGCCTCCGAAGTAGCTGGGGCTATAGCATGTGCCACCACGCCTGGATAATTTTCTTATTTTTAGTTGCCTTAGTTGCCCAGATAATTTTTTCTATTTCTTTTTCTTTTTTTAAGTAGAGACAAGGTCTCGCTCTTGCTCAGGCTGGTCTTGAACTCCTGAGCTCAAGTGATCCTCCTGCCTTGGCCTCCCAGAGTGCTAGGTGTTTCTGTCTTTTTGATGTAGTTGTTCAGTGCTATAAAGTTAAACTTAGCACGGCTTTTGCTATATCCCAGAGATTTTGATAGCTTGTATCATTATTATTACTCATTTTTGAAAAGATTTTTAATTTCCATCTTAATTTCAGATCATTCAGCAGCAGGTTATTTAATTT